CTCTCCATCGGTTTTCATGTCTGAGGAACTGTTGCTCATCGCCTGTTTGGAGCTAACAGTGATATGAGGACCCTGCCCAAAAGCCAACCTTGTGAAGTGTACTGCGTCTCTGGGCATGGATGCACTGCTGCACAGGTAGGACTGACTGACACAACTCACAACTGTTTTCTCACTCCTGCAAAATCAGTTGATTTTTACGTTTACTTCTTTTATAGTAATGATTTCACAGGTGCTTAAGTATAGATATATGCAAATAAGAAGTGCAGGCGTATCATTGGTGACCAGACCGAGGAACTGTAGTGATCTTGGAACGATTCTCATTCTTACGTTACACTGGTAAAATGTTACAAAGTTACAAAGGTAAAAATGATTTAAACCTTAATGTACAGTAGTGCAAATTTTAAGCATTGAAGTAATAAACTGTAAAAAAAAAGTTCCTCAAACATTCTATATACAAAATGCTGGAAAAAAAATTGGGACATTTTTTAAAAATATATTTGAATCATATTTGTGGTCAATTCTGAAATGTTATTTATTATTATTTTAAAATTAAAAGATATGACAAACTACAGGCTTATACAAAAGTTCAATGTAATCCACACTGAAATGAATTTCTATGTTGAAAGATATTTGAGCTACTGTATATCATATAGTCTTCTACAAATGGGGGGCGCTGCAGGAGAAGTACCAAAGCCACTGCTGTTAGGTAAATGTTTTCTGAGATTTAATCATTTTGACCATCACACAAATGCAAGAATGTGACATTTGAAGGAATGTTTTTCAGCACCGTAAGTCACTAAAATATTTTAGACATAATTTCCTTCTACAATCTACTGACATATATATTTAATTATTAAGATAATTGTCTTCAATCTGTTCATATCTACCACTAACTCCTAACTGTACAGTCCTGCTGTGCATTCGTTACTCACACACACCCACAAGAAAAATAAATCTTTTTGTGAGGGAAGTCTAATGAAGCTAATCGCTGCTCCGTGTCGATGGTAAAATCAGTCTTTGAGAATTTTGGTAGCTGTTTCTCATGACTGTCTGTGCCACTTGATTGAGTGCTGACACCGCAGAGCCAGGCCGTGGGAAAGCAGACCCCTCCAGCCACGCTTTGTCTGCTCCCCCGGGGAATCCTGCCAACCCCTTTACTGTTCTACCAGATCCTTTCAGCTCAAAGATATTCGCCGTCACTCTCAGTAAATCACTGTCTGCTCTCACTCACGATTTATGGCGCATTGATTTTGGCACACAGGCTGCAATCACTTTATTGCCCTCCTGTGGTCACGTGGACATAAAACCCAAACACTGAAAAGCAACGTGTAAAAGCTGGTACAATATCCGACTCATGTTCTTCTTCTTCTTCTTCTAAGGAGGGAGACGGGGAGTTAAAGGAGCCCACCCAGTCTACAAGCCCCCCCAAAGAGGCCGCGGATGGAGCACAGCAAAGGGTTGAGGGGAGGCGAGCTCCACCCTGTGGCTCCTGGAGGAGGTGGTTGTCAGGTCTCTTGCCCTTCCTTCCCTTCACCACTGCCATTGCACTGACCCTTCACTATTTAACATGTAAGTATGGGAATACCTTAGGAGGAGAGGAGAGAAAAGAGGAGAGGTCAGATAGAAAAACAGAGAGTATAGAGAAGAGGAAATGAGAGAGAAACAAATATAGATAGAAATCAAATCACAATTAAACCAAAAATGGTCATAAAATTAATAAAATAAAATCTAAAATCTCTTTTTCTTTTTTCCTCCTCATCCTCAGCTCCGCCCTCCTCAGTGTTCTTCCTGGGGGGCAGCGTGGAGTTCCCAAACCTGAGCTTCTCCTCAGACCTGACTGACTCCACCTCCCCACAGTTCCGCCTGCAGGCTCAGGCTTTGAAGCATTATGTAAGTGGAGCCCAGGCCTCAGTAGTCTCCTCGCAGTGACCTGCATGACCTTCGCACTCTGATCTGGAGCTGATCTGGCTGCTCCAGTCTTATTAAAACAGCACTTTAACGGCCACTTCCCTCCCAGTCTCCTCTGTTTCCTTATTTGTTCTTAATTTCTCTTTGTTGTCCTCTCTTCTCATCTTCATGCTCCATTTTTGTCCTTTTTCCTGTTTTTTTTTCCACCACACCACTTTCCTGTCCTCTGTTCTTCCCTCTGTCGGTGTTAAATGTAAAGCTGAAACAGGAGCCGAGCACAGTGTTTGTGCAAGTTCCCAAGGACCCCAGGGACAGGACTCTTTCAGGGCTGAAGACAAGCCCGGCGTTTGTGAGTCCGGCTAGATTCAGGCAGCAAGAGTGAGAGGAAGAGCAGGTCTTCAATAAAAACATTGTCTGCTTGTCTTACACACAATCCACTACTCTGTGTGACACTGTGTGTGTGTGCAGTGTAGGGAGCGGGGGACCTCAGTTTGACACCACAGAGATAGGGCAGTTGGGACGACAGGGGGCTGGACATACATTCCCACTCAGCTGATTGGAAATGATTATTTAATCAGTGGGAACTCAGAGACAAGCTGTCCATGTGTCCATGAACTGTCCTTATGTTACACCTTGATGGTGAATCAATGAGTCTGTGCTGTGATATCTGGTCATGAAGAGCAGGTGCCTTCAGGACCAGGACCGCGTGTGTGTGACCCAGGGTCGTAGCTGTGCACAGGCAGCAGGTAGACACACAAAGGAGCTCTGTGCGGCCCAACATTAACATACACACACACACACACAAAAGAACGAGCCTTCTGTTGAATGTTCAAACGAGTGTGTTCATGGCTCCATTACAGAGGAACAGTGACCTCATTTGCACCGCTGTGATGTCACCCTTTGCGTCTACAGTACACGGTCTGTCTTTTCTTTTTTCTTTTTTTTCCTACAGTTTTCAGATCTCTACGAATCCTCTCCTTGGAGCTCGTACTACCTGCACTCAGGGATTACTGCCTTCAGGTATGAAAAAACAAAACAAAAACAGAAGCACGTGACAGTGTCACATATGTGTCAATCTTTACTTAAGGAAAAATAGAAATATATTTTATATAAGTCTGTGTGTGACAGTGAAGGAGCAGAGGGTCTCAATGTCTTCTACTGGAGTAAATTCTCTGCCCCGGACCATGTCGCCACAGCCATCAGGGCGTCCGACCCCGAGAGGCTGCAGCGGAGGCTTCCAGGCACCAACAAAGTACAGAGGGACAGTCGCAATGAGCATCGCTACTACATGGAGCAGGATGAAGACATGCTCCACCTACTGGGTAGATGCTCACACTTTGTGTTTTTTGTCAAGCCACTCAATGCATTCTGACTATCTTTTTCTTTTTTTCATATAAACATTACTGCCACCTACTGAACTGGATTGTGTTCATCATTATGCTTAATTTTAATTTTTTTTGTTGTTGTTTGTCTGAAGGTTTGGACCCCGATGGCTTTGATGATGAAAAATTTGGAAAGAATAAGAATCCAAATAGCATCCAAAATGGGAAGTGGCAGCTTGGTTTCCAAGGTGAGAGAATCATGTTTGAGTCCTGAGTCTTTTCAGTGCTAGTAGTTAATTATTTAAGATAATGTTTACTGTATAGTGTCAGGTTGTCCAGTCAACTTTGACACAATAATCAAACCTACACCGTGTGACAAAGTGATACATGTCATGTCACCTTTATTTTTATTACACTAATAAAATGATGACTCCATATTTCCACCTCTTGTTTCACAGCAATGTCCTTTGACCTTTACGCCAAATACGGCAACAACCGCACTCTGAGCCTGGTGAGTCCTAAGAAGCCGTATTACCAGTGGCGACTGCGGGTGCCGTCAGGTCACGTAGTTCGACTGGTTATCCTCACCCTGCATGGTGCCACGCCAGGAAGCTGCACTGCCCACAAGCTCTCCGCCTACGACTTCCTGCTTCCCCTACAGAACAAAATCATTGCCAGGTAAAAGACATTATGTTCACTTCTAGTAATGAGCGGTTACCGTCAAAACCCGTGCAATATCCTCAGATTGTAAAGCTGTTCATGACCTTCCTCTGTAGGTCACAGGTAGCCAGAGATGTGTCAGAGCGGGAGATTTATTACATTTACAGTGACCCTTGTAAGATTTCACACCCAACTTCTTTTTCAGGACCTTTTTTTTGCCAGAACAGTTGGTAAACTTTGTGAACATGCATGAAAAATCTTTAATTTGGTGACTTAGATCTACATTATCAGACAAAAACATTTAGAAAAGGCTTTTATTGATTATGATAAACAGCTTTATTGCATTTGTATTTTTTTTAATGTATTCTTTCTTTAGCATTTGGGATTTGACAGTGAGTCTGCAGTATGAAGGTTATTTGGAGTCTGTATCTGTGCTCTAGGTGGTGCGGGCTGCCTGTCTCGTCTAGTTCCTCCCCCGTCATGAAGCTGACGTCCTCAGGAAACGTCATGTTGGTCACCTTCTCCTTCAGCAGACAGAGAGACGGGGCCATTTTCAAAGCATACTTCCAGGCCATCCCAAAAGCAAGTAAGAGTGTTTCAGTATACAAGATGACATTTTTAATTGATAAAAAAAAAAAAATATATATATATAATGTATTTATTTAATCTTTAGATTTTCCCACTCCTCAACTACATCTTTATCAATGTGACTGTCTCCCCCTGCAGGTTGTGGAGGATCCATTTCTTCTTGGAACGGCTCCATTTCCTCACCCTACTATCCGGCCTATTACCCTCCCAATATAGACTGTTTGTGGACACTGAGGGTGAGTCATGTGACTGTGTATACGTACGTCCATGTGTCAGAATCGGAGAAAGAATAAGTTGTAGTGAAGTGGTAACAGAGAACAGAAGTGAATCACCCTTCTGTTTTTTGGTCTGCCCACATTCCATTTCTACCATCCTCTTCCCTTTTCTTGATCAGGCGCCGTTGCCCGGATACTTGATCTCCGTGACAATTGTAGTGATGGATATTCTGGACTCAATGTCGTCAGACGGCTGTGAGAAAGACTGGCTGGACATAGGAGGAGTCAAGTGAGTCAGGGAACTGAAATGTGTTGCAACATAGCTGCGTGTGACCAAAACGACAGGACGAGGTGTTCGTCCACAGCTACTGTATGTGTAGAATCTGAAATTCACTACTATGTCAGGCAAGAAAAAAACAACCTCCAATAATGGCCTGAAATTTCAAACCAAAACAAAGTAAATAGAGATGTAAAACTCTAGAAAAGGATAAAAGTAAGAAAAATCGCTTAAAAAATATAATATTTTTTTGTCTTTGCCCTGCTCCATTTTTAGACTGTGTAATCCAATATCAGACAGCAGCAAAAAGCGAGTTTTCTCCTCTCCTCTGTCCCTTCACTTCCACTCTGATGAATCCCTCACTCACAAGGGCTTTCTCCTGCTCTACAGAGCCTTTTCCCCAGAGAGCAGTGAGTTCATCTTTCACTTTTTGTTTTTTTTTACAAACTCATCTGAAACAAATGATGTCTAAAGTTGCTCTTTGTCCGTCTCCAGCTTGTCCTCGCCAGTTTCGCTGTGGAGACGGACGCTGCATCCCTCTGAGGAAGGTGTGTGATGGAGTCAAAGACTGCTCTGATGGACGGGATGAGGCCAAATGCTGTGAGTGTAGTTTCGTCAGAGATGCTCACCTTTTCAAAATAAAATAACTTTTTTCGGATGCATTATAAATCATGTCAGAAAGTCATTTGTTGTCATAGATGTCGTGTTGATTTTTGTGTGTTTTGGTTTCAAATTGTGATTCAAACTCACAGCCCACTGCAGACCTGGGGAGGTGTTGTGTGCTAACGGTGTGTGTAGACCTCAGGGCAGTCAGTGTGTGTGTGCAGAGAGCAGTGAGGAGGGGGCCTGTGGTGAGCAGACGTCTCTGATTTGCACACTATAACTGTCCATCCATGTCAGGTTTCACTGTTGACAGTGTTCTGTCCCCCTGTAGGTAAATGTTACCACATGTGTCCCAACAAGGTGTGTTTGTCCAAGTCGTCAGTGTGTGACGGTGTGACTGACTGTAAAGACCGCAGTGATGAGCTCAACTGTTCCAGATCATGTGAGTGAGGAAGGTGACGGCTGTTAGTGCTTTCTCTGAATTAGTCATAGTCACGAGTCCTCGCAGTCCGGGTCCAAGCTAACTTTTCCTTCAACTGGGTTTCAACACTATTCTTAATTTCAAAGTGTTTTTATTCATATGCGATAAAACAATGTTTTTCTACTTCTGAATGTCTTCAGATGTTAAAGGCTGCTCCTCGTCGTCCTACAAATGTGCCAATGGAAGGTGTGTCACTAAAGTCAACCCAGAGTGTGACGGACTCAGAGACTGCTTCGATGGCTCTGATGAGATGCGCTGTGGTGAGTTTTTAGTCACGTGATCATGGTCTGACTTTCTATTTGTTTGATTTTCTCTCTCTCTCTCTCTCTCTCTGTGGTGTAATTCCCTCACAGGCTGTGGCACTAGGCCCAGGAAGCGTACAAAGATAGTAGGAGGCTCTGATGCTGCAGCGGGGTCGTGGCCTTGGCAGGTCAGCCTCCAGATGGAACGTTACGGCCATGTTTGTGGAGGAACGCTGGTTGGCAGCCGCTGGCTTATTTCTGCCGCTCACTGTTTCCAGGACTCAGAGGCCATTAAGTAAAAGAAAAAAATAATTCTGAAATTACTTTTAATTCTATACATAAATCGTGTGTCTTGAGTCAAAGTACTGTACCTCTGTAGATACTCAGATGCTCGTGCGTGGAAGGCCTACATGGGAATGCGGGTGATGACTGCCACCAACAACGGAGCAGCCGCCAGAAATATCCGGCGCATCCTCATCCACCCTCAGTACGACCAGTTCACCTCCGACTACGACATCGCCCTGCTGGAGCTCAGCAGCGCCATCTTCTTCAATGACCTGGTGCAGCCCGTGTGTGTGCCCGCTGCCTCCCACAGCTTCACCACAGGGACCAGCTGCTACGTCACGGGCTGGGGAGTGGTCATGGAGGACGGTGAGACTTGTCTGCTGCACCAGATCAAATCTAATCAACCGACCGTCATACCAACAGATCGTTTGTGTCTGTGGTGCCTGCAGGTGAACTGGCCTCTCGTTTACAAGAGGCTTCAGTGAAGATCATCAGCAGAAACACCTGCAACAAGTTCTACGACAACGCTGTGACTCCCAGGATGATGTGCGCTGGGAACCTGCAGGGAGGAGTGGACGCCTGCCAGGTGAGTGTGGGCTGCACCGGTGCCCTGCTACATTTGTCAGTTACTCTTATTCATTCACAATGAGTAAAAATACAGTTTTAAACCACAAACCTGGAGACTTTGGTGAAAACTTACAGTAGATCTTAGCAGTAGATCTCAATTTCTTTGGGAGTTTTTCCCCAACAAAAAATGCAATTTTACTTTGATACTGAAGTAAACATGAACAAAACTTATTTATACCACTTTCTTACTTTTACCATTTATGTAAACCACTCATTTGGACTCCATTGCAACTCAAAACAACTTGACAGCTAACCACCCAGAACGAGTCTCATTAATATGGAGTTGAAATTACCATCTCTTTAATGAACTCCATATTATTTTTTATGCAATAATGAACATTCTTAAAAAAAGCAAATTCCAGTGCACATTTTCATTGCTTTGTAAACTACAAATAAATTCACACTAAAGTTCAGAGAGAAAATCAGTGATTTCCACAATAAAGTTCAGAGAGAAAATCAGTGATTTAATGTCTTAGCTGAGGTAACACTGACTAGAACACTATGCTTCTGAGTGCAGGGCGACTCGGGCGGTCCTCTGGTCTGTCTGGAGCGAGGCAGGAGGTGGTTCCTGGCTGGGATCGTGAGCTGGGGCGAGGGATGTGCCCGACAGAACCGCCCTGGTGTTTACACACAGGTGGTAAAGTTCAGTGACTGGATCCATCAACAGACTAAAGGACAGGTGTGATCGAACACAGCAGTTGACACGATGTGAACACAGGAGACAGAGAGGGGACAGAGGGTGATGTCGTCGTGCTGTTGTCATGGTTAGTGTGACATCACAGGTAAACACTATTTCAGAGAGTTTCTACTGCACGGGTGCCAGAGGTGGAGGTCATTATTGCTGCCATACAAATAAGCTTCTGTAAAATCTCTTCCTGAACACGAGTGTATGTTTTTCAACCACTGACATGGACAAAAACTTCCATCTTCAACCCATCTGTTAGAATTCTTCTCTTAGATACATTAATCATTTCACAATTTCTCACTGTGCCGTGGGTTTTCTGTTCACAAATGATGTGGGCCAGCATTTACTGACCACTTCCTGTTTTCTCTACAGTTAAATACACTATTTCCTTTTCCCCTTTTCCCATTATAAATTGTAAATTATTATAAAAACAATAATGTCAAAATAGTGAACAAAATTCACACATTTTTTTGACATCTCCATGACTGTGAAGAGAGTGTCTTTTCATACAGTTTCCTTGTTCTCCCAACAGTCCAATAACATGTAGGATTAGATTTGTTTTAACACTAACACTTTACTCTTGATATGAGACTCAGTCTGATTGGTCGTCTGTCTCTACATGTGGCCATGTGATGAACTTCTACGCCTAAGAGTAACTTGGACAGCTCATCGTGCTTGTGTGCGTGAGTGAAACCACGTCAGGTCCAACGTTGATCACACCCCGGTTTGTTACCATTTAAGGTCATTCCCCAGATCAGTCATGTTACTGAACGTCAGATATGTGAACAAGTGTTTTTACCCACAGCTCCATTTGTCTAAGTACTGTATTTGACACTTGTGTGGACTTGTGTGGACAAGTCTGAGTACTGCTTTGGTACTGTATATGTATGTGTGTATTTGTATATCATGTTTTTTTTTTTGAATAATAGCCTTATGTTGAAAAATATATATATTCTGTAGAGGAGTGATGCAGAGGAAAAGGTGAAAATATATTGTTTTATTTCAGATTTAAGCTGATGATTTTTTTGTGTGTGTTTATCTTCACACTGTAGCTCTTCATCTTTTCACCTCTTCCTCTCTTCAGCTCTGTCCTGCAGCTCAGTGGTTTTACAGCTATGATGCAGGTGACGACGCTGCTGCTGCTGCTTCTGTGAATGGAAGTCATTAGATGTTTAGGAGGAAACACTTTATGAAAACACTTAAATTTACCTGCCACTTCATCAGGTACCCTTTGTCTCTTCATTCAGCAATTTCAACAAAATGGCATTTGTCAGATTCACTTCTTTGACATTACACAATGTTTGAGACCCACTAAGTACAGGATGCTTGTAGGGGAATGGATACTCAGTCCAGACCCTGGACCTGGACCAACATTCTGACGCTCAGTTTACACTTCAACAGGTCGTCTAGGTCAGACCTGCTGCCGTGTGATTGGATGATTAAATATTTGCCTCAGTTAGCCGTTGATGTACCTGATAAAGTGGCCTGACCTTTTCCCTCATGCAACACACACCACCACCATGTGGACAGAATGTAGCATTGCGCCTGTGACAGGAAGGATGCACCTTGCTTCCAAACATGTGATAATTGAAATCTTAGGTATGAGTAAAATGCAACCTGTCTGGAGCAGCAGCTCGACATGCATTTGTAAACAAACTATTTTTAATCTAATCATTTAATTATTGCCAAGTCAACTAAAACCATGTTTTTTTCCTGTAGAGATCAACACAGAAGATCAACTGCTTTCATCCCATCTTCTCATTGGTCGTGAACACTCTTTGAAATCTTCTGCTGTTCTTCCAGTCTGACAGCTCCATCTCTCCTCATCCTTTGTCTTGTGTGACATCCATGATCATCTCATCCTCACCTCTCTAACTTTATCTCCCAGCAGCTGCTCTACAGTAAATCTTTTCTCACCCCCCAGATAATCACTCCGAATGACAAATGATTCCAGATAATTGCCCCATACTAACCTGTCTGTCTGTTACCTGCCATGTTTCTGTTTTCTCTGGCTGCCGGAGAAACGCCGCTCTTTTATTGTTCTTGGAGGAAAGCCTGCCAGATTTGTGGCTCTGCCAATCGTGAAGAACGTGACGGGCAGGTTATTGTTGATGAGAAAAACACTCGTTCACCCTGAATGCCTACGTGCGGATCATCCCATCTACCAGTCCAGAGCACAGGCGAACATTAACGTGTTGCACCATCATCGTCTGACAGATGCTGCGCCTCTCATCCTGCACGGAGGAGCGGTCTGAAACTCACAGAATACTCTTTTGAGGATTGACTCCTTCTTTAAAAAGTATTAGAAATATATTTTTATCTAGGTTGTTGAGTATTTTCTAAACAGCTCAGTGCAGAAGTGAAGTGGACTGCTGCTGCTGCTGTTACGCGTACAGGGTGTGTCAGTGGACGTCAGGGAAATCCGCTATCCGGTGGCTGCACTGTGGGAACTGTATAAATGTGAGACACGCTGCCACTGAACGGTGGGAAAAGGTTGCACTGGTGTTCTGTGGCGTGTTTTCCCTGACAGTACAGACAGACAGCAGCAGCAGCAGCAAACCTCGGGACACCGACCGTCTCCACTCACTGACCGCCGGCGCTGAGCGCAGCCGCCGGGCGAGCTGCGTAAACCCCCCCCCCCCCCCCCCCCCCGGGAGAAAACATCAGGAATTAAACCGTGTTTTCCCTTATTTTCCCCTTCTTTTCTTTAACTTTTTGTAGACCAGCTTTTTAAATCGGAATCACCAGACATGATGAAGCGCGTCCTCGTGTACCTGCTGTGTGGATTGTACGGAGTTCTAGCCAAAGGTGAGTGACCCAGAGCGCACAACACACCTGTTGTACAGATGCAATAAATTCAAAATGTTTAAGGCTTTTCATGGGCATTGGGATTAATGTAATTTAGTTCCACTCATAAGTCAAAGCAAATCTGCATGTGCGCGATGCAACAAGTAGAAAAAATAACTTTACGCACGACATGTTTGGCTGCTGCGACGCGCCATTGTGCTAATTTTATAAATATAAAATACGGTCATTTGCATTAAAATCTACGCCAAACAATCAAGCTCTGCTGTGGGACCACTCATTACTGTGGTGTTGTGACTGTGTGCTGCTCTCTGATAAGTCATCTTTGTCTCCGTGCGCCTGACTCCCGCCTTGTTAACCTGCTGGCTCTCCGTGCACCGGGAGATAAGCGCTATCCTGCTGGACACTTGCTTGGACAATTGCGGCTCCGCTCCTCGTGCCTTTGGCCCCGGGTTGAACGGGACAAGAGCAGGGCGTTGTTTCCTGACTCTGATGGCTCGGTCTAATGGACGTTCTGATAGAGATGAGGCAGAAGTCATGACCTTCTGGGTTTTTTTTCTCACTCTGATATTTGTAGAGGTTGAAATCCTTTGTTTGAACCGTGGATCTTTGACGTGACGTGTGGTTAAACAGAAGCTTTTAGAAGTTGTGGAAGGGATGTATAAAAGTGTGCACTTAGAGGCACTCACTTTCATCTGAATAATTCTTTAATATAGTAGTTATATCCACGAACAAACATGAAGAAGATGAAGTTTCTATTTCAACATTTCCTTTGTTAATTAAGCTTAATTTGGCACCAAATGTCTTTCCTGATGCACCTGAGGGAAATGAACGCTGCTCTGTGGTTTGGTGTTTGGTGCAGGCACACAGTGGCAGCTGAACCTGAACCAGGGTGCAGGAGTCGAAGTCCAACTCCTTCTGATCAATGTTCGCTTCAACTAAGTTACTTTGTGGAATTTCAGGGCGAAAAACTGTGCAGAAAATGTCCCCAAACTGATTATAACCATATCACTTTTAGTTGTAATAACATTTAATGTCAGAGTTTGTTAATGCCACTAAAACCATTATATATTTGTTTTGGGGCTTAATGAACTATATCTGATCTTGACTTTGCTCTGTGAAAGATCAATTATTTTATATTCTAAATTTAATCTGCGGTAATTTTATGAAACTACACTGAACTGGTTGCTCTGTGAAACAATTATTTTATATTCTAAATTTAATCCGTGGTAATTTTATGAAACTACACTGAACTGTCATTTTTTTTAAAAAACAAAACATTTTGATTCATTTTTAGAGCAGCTGTTTCTTTACAAAACATTTTTATTCATTTTTAGAGCAGCTGTTTCTTTATAGAGGCCGCATTACCTGTACATGAGGGTGATGTAGACCAAAAAAGAAACTGTATTGTGTATATACTATTAAGTAAAGGTTCTGGTGAAGGATATAGAAGGAGAACGTCATGTGACATCAGCTCCAGATGAAATTCACACAGTTCTGTCACAGTTTGTTGAGAAAAGCCCTGCAGGATCTTTGACTTCCTCTCGGTCTTCACCGCTTCCTGCTGTTTATGTGTGTGTGCGTGGGCGAATGCCTTTTCTGCCTACACACACACACACATACACAAACACACCATCAAATCCAAGGAAGTGGTATAGGAAGTGCTAGTAGTGTGAGTAATACTAGGTCTGCTCAATGGGGCATCCACTGGGAACAATGCTGCTGATTGTGAATGGTTCTAATGGACTTTAGTGACAGAGTGACTAACTGCTGCACAGGTGATTTGACTCCACACAGAGCAGCGGTGTCGAGGAGAACGCTGCTCCTGCTCCCTGAGGAGCGGTCAGAGTGAAAGCTGGACTTCCTTGACTGACATGTCCACTGTTGAGGAAGGAAGGGCGGACAGACGGCCATCTTATTCTCTCATTAATAAACCTGGCCCACGGAATGGAGAAATGCCGGGCGTTTGATAAACAAGAGCGACGGTGCTTACGCATTTCCACACTAGCTGTCAAGTGGAGAGGAGATGCACTGAGGGTCACAGATACCGTGTCCTGCACGGAGGACGTGCCGCCGAGCTGGAACCCTGATGCAGAAGGCCAGCGCGTCCATCAGTCAAGGGTTCGGTTCAGTCCGTTTTGCGGTGGACACAGTTTACAGGACCTGTCCAAAGTATTTATTGACGGGAAAGTGTTTTGTCGTCCAGGATTTCCTCAAACTGTGGTCTCATGTGGAGCTGGTGAAATCAGGAGGATTTGGATTATAAATAGAACCAAACCTTGTACACTAAGTGTAGGCCCCAACTACAACATGTTTATACCCATGTGACCCGTGTACAGGCAAGACTGCATGGATCTATAGAGAGAAAATCAATAGAATTTAAACTTTAAATTCCATTCAAATTTTCATGGGAATGTTGCTAAGACTGGATCATTTTATGGAATCACTAGAAGTGTATGTTGTTGTTTTCATCTGCAGGCCTTCAGAAGGGATGTTCTGTGGAGGAACCTTTAACCCATTGTGAACATGCTCACTAGATGGCAGTAATGCAACAAAAAGCAGAAAAGAATCCCAGAATGATCCCCTGTTTGTTTCATGAAATGAATTTGTAATGACATTTCTCCATCTTCTACCTCAATCCCTTTAATGCAATGCAGATTAGATTAAACTAAACTTTAAATGACACTTCAAGGAACTTCTCCAGGGGCTGGGGAAGTCAGGTTCACCTTTTCTAAACCTGAATGGTCAAATATTGCCTTCTCTAGAAGGTAAAGAGATCGCTTGGTCAGATAAACTTGGTTCCCAGACCCCATGTGGCCCAGAGGGGATTAGTATTATTATGATTTACAACAGATATCTATGAGTTCTAGCCCGACATTGACCTCTGACCTCACTGGAGAAATACACAGTTATTTTAATTGTCATTACTAAATATTATATAATTGTTTGTTTGTTTTTGTCTCTAAAGAATGTTTTTCTCTGTTTCTGCAGTAAAAGCTCAAAAGGGAAACTACAGCGTCCCAGTCCTGGATGTGATAAGTCGACAGCTGATCGTAGACGCCAATCAAACTCTGCTGCTCAGCTGCAGGTCAGATTTACATCACATCAAGTCAACATTTATGCTAAATTTATATATGATTCATCAGAGCAATCACAGAACATGGTTGTTACAGAATTTTTTTATTTTATAATAAGCACTTTAGATTTTTATAAACAAAACACAGAAAGAAAAAATAAATAGAAAACCAAAACAAAGATCTCAAAGGTTTTTTTTAGGTTTCACTCTTCACTTCAACAACATAGAAATATCATCATAAAACAGAATGGCGATCCAGTGCTACTGAGTGGATTTGGTCACTCTTGAACTTTTTATTGAATATAAAAGTAGAATATGATTCATCGCACATGAATTTTTCCATAGGCTTGTTGTTCAGTTGTTGAACTCGTTCTCTCTCCTTGCTTCTGGTCAGGGGCCGCTGGGATCTGATGTGGACGTACCCATCAGGCGTGGTGAAAGATCAGGTGCGCGTGGAGGAGTCTCGCTGTGGAAGGACGAGCCATCACTACTGCAGCCGTCTGGTGGTCAGCCAGAGCCGAGCCCAGAACACGGGCCTGTTCCACTGCAGATACAGGCACCGGCCTCAGAAACAGTCGTCTGTTTATGTGTATGTCACAGGTAAGACACCACTGCATTATTGTCCTTTTCTGTTTGTCTCGCTCTTTTACTCACCCCATCATCCTCCCTGTTTACACCCCTCCTGACCCCCGACCCAAACAGGATGTAGTGGGTGCTAAATTCAGACCGATGCCAGAGACAAATCCGCGTCTCAATGCTGTTTGTCCCAACAACTTCTTTTCTCAGCCCTGGCCTCCCCCCTCCTCCCGTCTATATTTAAACCCTTTCTTACTTTCATTTACGTGCTACCTCCAGGCCAGGAATAGCCCAGCTGCTGAAAGACTCAGGCCCGGGCAGAGTTTCCCAGGGCATCAGTCTTATCTGCTCTGTTCAGCCCTGCTTGAAGCATCCTGTGCCTGGGGGAGGAGGGGAAGGGCTCAAGGGGTGTGTGCTGGGAGGGAATGTTTCGGTGTCTCTACAAGGTGGCGACGGGGAGGTACGTGGAAGTGTGTATATTTGTGTGACTGTGTGAGAGAGGAGCTGGGCATAGGGTGATGAAGACTGATGCTGAGGAGCAGAGGAGGCACCATGTCTGCTCCCCTCTGCTCCTCCCTGTCCTGCGGGTGAAGAGGAAGGGGGGGGGGGGG